TTTTGGATAGGCAATCACTTCAAAGGGCTGGATGAAATATGTGTATATATATGTGTTTGTTTATTACACATATAATTTATATATAAATATATATGTATTACCTTGTTTTCAAATACATTTCAAATATGTATATTTGAAAATAAGGTAATACATTTTCGATATATTCAAATATATATATTTAAAACAAGGTAATACACATATATTTATATATACAATTATAAGTGTAATAAATTTATGTATATTTGAACACAAGATAATACATATATTTATATAATTATATATGTAATAAACACACATACTTATGTATCATATATTTGTTATTAATAGATAATATATGTTTATATATCATATATAAATATATTTGTATATTTTTATTTTGTTTTCAAATATCTATATTTACATACAAATATAATATGGAATTATAATGTATTATATAAATTATAACATGATATGATAATATATTATATATATAAATATGCTACATATACATATATAAACTTTGGAAAGGGAAAGGAATTTACTTTATATTGACACTGTCAGGAACGGAAGAATGGCTTTCACACAGTTTGGATTTTGTTTCCATAATTCTGTCAGATGATATGTTAGTTTCCCATTGCTGCTGCGGCGAGTTACCATAGATGCAGTGGCTTAAGAAAACACAGGTGGGCCGGGTGAGGTGGCTTAAGCCTGTAATCCCAGCACTTTGGGAGGCCAAGGCGGGTGGATCATGAGGTCAAGAGATCGAGACCATCCTGGTCAACATGATGAAACCCCATCTCTACTAAAAATCCAAAACATTAGCTGGCCATGGTGGCACGTGCCTGTAATCCCAGCTACTCAGGAGGTTGAGGCAGGAGAATTGCCTGAACCCAGGAGGCGGAGGTTGCGGTGAGCCGAGATCGCACCATTGCACTCCAGCCTGGGTAACAAGAGTGAAAACTCCGTCTCAAAAAAAAAAAAAAAAACACACACACACACGCACACACACACACACAGGTGGATTATCTTACATTTTTGGAACTCAGAAGTCTAGAGTAGATCTTGAAGTGAAGCATGATGGTGTTGGCAGGGCTGGTTCCTTCTCGAGCCTCCGGGCGAGAATCCTGCCTGCTCCAGCTTCTAGAGACCATCTGCATTCCTGGGCCTGTGACCCCTTCCTCACCTCAAATCTAGCAATGGCGTCACTCCTGCCTCTGCTTCCACCACATCTCCTTCTCTGACTGACCCTCCTGCCTCCCTCTTTCACTCATAAGGGCCCCATGATGATATTGGGCTCACCTGGGTAATCCAGGGTATTCTCTCTATCTCAAGATTAGTCCCACCTGCAACATTCCTTTGTGCTGTGTAAGGTAATCATGGTGTGGACATCTTGAGGAGCCATTATTTTGCCTACCACAGGTGGGCATGGTTATGTCCATTTTACAGATGAGCAAATAGACTCAGAGGTGCTGGGCAGTGTTCCCAAGACCGTTCAGCTGGTAAATGGGTGATCAGGATTTGAATTAACAGTAGCCTCATCCTAAAGCCAAAGCTCTTTCTCCCCAGAACATTTTTCCATTCCACACTCTCAGCTTCATGCTGAATTTAATCTCATGGCTTTCCAGGAATTGGGGTAAATGCTACCATTTTAAGGACTGTTTCCAATGGACTATTCTGCATCTGTCCTTGCATCTCCAGCTCTCTGAAAAGATGAAAGGGGGACAGGCTCCCCAATGTACTTCTCTTCCCTCACCTAACTTCTCCTGGTCCTTCAGCTCTCAGGTTCCTGGTTCCCTTCTCCAGGAAGCTCTTCCAGAACCCCTTATTTGAGAGGGAAGCTTGTCTTAGTGTTGCATGTGGTAATTGTCTGTTTCTGGGTTTGTTTTTCTCTCTAGATCTTGGCAGCTTCCCCTGTGACAGCTGGCACTGTATGCGTGCACCTTAGGTGTCTGTGGAATGGAGGAATGGATGCCTGCATGAATGAATCCATCACCAAAGCTCCGAAGCATCACTTCCTGCTCAGAGAACCTCCCACACCGAGGTTCCTGCACCTCTAGAACAGCAAGACATCATTTATCCTTGGGTCATAGTCAACCTCCTGCACTGGACTGTGAACTCCTGCAGGCAGGCACCATGGCAACGGCCCTCTATAAGCCCCAGCACAGGGTCAATGGCTTGATCATGGGAGGAGCTGGCAAGAGCTCACTAGATGGCAGGGAACCAACTGGCCATGGTCCAGATGACTGAGATCCACCAGGTCCACACTTTAAAGGCGGCAGCAGGAGCGCTCTCCAGAGGCTGTGACTCTGAGTCCTGAGTTTAGAAAGGACCCCTCCTTCTCTTTCAGAATTGTGCAGTCATTTACCCTCCTTTCTGGGGTTGGTATTTCCAAAGAATACCTTGCCCAATATTGTCAGCTTTTAAGGAAAATGATCTGCTAGCCAAAGCATGGGGATGAGAAGGAGTGGCTTCTGAAGTCTGAAATGAATAAGAACGGCTTCCTGTGAAGTCCTTCTTGGACCAAGGGAAGAAGTGTAGCCACTTCCTCGGTGTGCTCCTCTTTCAAACAAGGGCAATCATTGGACTTTAAGGCATAACGTGAGCATTCATGAGGTCCCATGTAGAACACTTCGGGGTCTCGGCCGGGGGGCAATAGGGGCCCCATGATGTTCTCTCTCCCCACTCCCTTGGGTTCTGAACCAGCTGACCGTGTGACCCAGAGTAAGTCACTCCTCTGGGTCTTGGCTTCCTCAACTGTCAAAAGATGACAAGAGTCCCTGTAAAATTCTTCCCTCTGCAAGGATGTCCATCACAACCTTATTTAAAATCACAAATTATGGAAATCTACCTAAACAGGACAAGAATAGTTGCCAATTACTGAGTGCACATCATTTGACAGCCACTGCTGGAATCACTTAATGTATATTCATTTGTACAATCCTCAGCCCATCCCTAGGAGGCAGGGATGATGTCCTTTAGAAGTGGGGAAGCTGAGTCACAGAGATGCTGAACAACTTACTTGGGTTCACATGGCTGAAAAAAAAGACACAGAGCTGGTATTGGAACCCAAGAAGCATGGCACTGCCATCAGGCTCTGAGCAGAGATGTTCAACAACCTTACTCTCAAGACAATGGTTAAGGAAATTATCATACAGAAAATTATTGGAGTAGGACAAATCTTTCAGCACTAGTGTTAATTCAGGGAAGGTGATAATGTACATAATTTTCTGCATATATAATATACTTCCACAAAAATTACTTAAAAATAATAAAATAGGGAATCATTCTGACATAAGATTACGTGAACAAAAGCAGACTAGAGCTAGTATTTAGAATAGGATTGCTGTGCTACTGTGTAAGAAATATACATCTATGCAGAGAAAGACAGGGAAGAATTTGCCAAACTTCCTTGGCTACTGTGATTATAACCAAGGAAGTTTGGCAAATTTGTTCCTCTCTATTTTTCTGAATTTTACAAATTTGCCCTAATGAGCTGCTATTGATTTCTTAACAATACCAATAAAATACTTAATAAAAAACAAAAACAAAAATCTCCTGTACTTTCCCCATAGTTTTCATCTCAGACTGACTGTGTTTTTCCCTTGCTCAAAGTAAAAATAAATAAACGAAACTCGGTACAGTCTATAACTTGAGAATAACAAGAATGAGTCTTGTGAAACTTCCAGAACAGGAAGCTTTGAAATGTTTTCCTCTAATAAAAAGACTGTGAAGTGGAAAGGGAAAGAGACAAAACATCATTTCTCTACATTTTTAATGATACTTGTTTTTTTTAAAAGTATCTTGCTAGAATGACCCATTAAGTGCAAGGTGCAAAGTAAAGTGTTCTGTCAACAAGAAGTCAGACATACAATTGCAAGCCTCTTTCTGTTTGTATGGGCATCAATCTGTCAGTGCAAATCAGTGAGCAAGAGTGAAAATAAATGAGCTACTCCATCAAGGTCACAGAATATAACTCTCTAATTTCAGCCCTTTCTTTTTCCATTTGGAAGGGAACCTGACTGTGCTGCATGCCTAAAATGTGAGGCACAGACCACATGCCTACAAGGAAGAAGAGATGCAACATCTCATAAAGAGAGCAACTGAAGCTCAGGGATGTTGAGCGCACTGCTCAATGCTACATAGCCAAGAAGTGCTTGAGCCAGGATCCAAATCCAGTTTGGTCTGATTCCAAGATCTGGAAATTTCTGCTAGGTTCTGAAGCCACCCAACTTTCCTCTTCACTAAATGTTTGTTTTGCATATTGGAGGTTGAAAAAGTGACAAGCTCTATGCCTTCTTTTGAACATGTTGGCTTATTATTAAAGTTTTCCTCTCCATTATACTGGTTGAATGAAATGTCCTTTCTTTTCTGCCTTGTAAACTCCCACGTTTCAGGTAATGAGATGACAGATAACAGTTTTGAAACATTTTTAAAGTCAGGGCAAGAGATTGGAGACTCACAACAATTCTCTAATCTGAACTCTCAGGGACAATATGGCCCTCTTTCACAGGGCATTCATATGTCATCACTTGTGACTAGGTGAGAATTCAAAGGATGGAGTTATTTATTAAAAGGAAGATGACTGAGAAGCAAAATGTAGAAAGGAATATTCTCTAGACGGGAAAAATGTCAGTGAAGAACTGCATGATGAACTCCTAAAATTAGATGCCTTTGGCATGACAAAGGATGTGACCCTTTAAAGGGATGCCGGTTTGTTGCCTGGGGTTCCCACAGTGCTGTGTTGCCTGTCCCAGGAGGTGTCAGGAACCAGGTGAGAACAGTCGCTCTTCAGTATTCACTGGAGGTTTTGGATCAATAGCCTGGACACAAATGATGTCTGGCTTCTCCCCATCCCAGCTCTTTCTTTAAAACCAAGAGTTTGCTGAATGGTAGAAAACCACACTGTCCTAATTGATGAATTCTGATGGGGAACCCCCCTGCCTTAAAGGACCTTATGAACATTCCCACTGTGCTATGTAACCCCCTGTGGCATTCTCAAAAGTAACCCTCAGTTGACTTACAGAGAAGATGGCAGCCAAAGTCTCGATGCCCCCCGTACTCAAGGTGACATATGGGATATTTGCCGGAGGGATCCCAGCGTTTCCAAAGATGCTGTTGGTATAGAACCAAATCTGTAATGCAGGAAAGAACGAGAAGAGAAAGTGGTCAGTGGAAGGACTTAATCTATTTTCTAAATCAAATTTGGGTAGAAGGTAGTCTCTGGATTCCACTGCCAAACTCAAAGTCCCAAGATGAAGTGGCGTGGATGCTCATTTTTCACCTTCATCTCACATTTTCCCTTTCTTCATTACTAAAATAACTCTTGTACTAGTGGGAGTGCCCAGCTAAAAGGCTATATTTCCTAGTTTTCCTTGCAGCTAAGTGTGGCAGAGAGACAGAAACAGTAATGGTAGCGGGGCTTCCAGGAAGTTTCTTTTTTTAAAAAGAAACTTTTCATCAAGGAGGTGTGCTTCCATTTTTGTTTTTTATTGTTGTTTGTCCTTTCTCCTTTCTGTGTCAGGATGGTGGAGATGATGGCTGGAGCCTCAGCAGCCTTTTATGGATTACTAGGTGACTTCAGAACAGCACTGCCAGGAACCTTCAGTAACTTTGTGAGAACTAGAAAAGGCCCTCACTACACAAAATCCTTTACTGTCATCCATTGAAAAATTGCCATAGCAAATCCACAATGCATACAAGGAGAAAGATGTTCCCCAGAGTTGTGTAATGCACAACCTGTTTAACTATACATAAAGCCCCTGGCTTGGGATGAAGGCCGCTTGTTCGGTTGCTGGCCCAGGAAATTAGAGAGTTAGCCTGTGCCCTCACTGACTACAGTGGTTCTGTAATTTATTATCTAAACATGAGCACTTTTGAGTGTTGACAGCTGTGCTGGGACAACACACGTATATTGAGTGTGTCCTGGGAAAACCAGCGTATGTGGTCTTGGAGTTGCTATACCAGCCCTCGCAACTTACTTCATGTGAGACAGAAAACGTTCCAGCTGGTTGAGGTCTCTGTTGGGGTTTCTACCACATGAGGTTAGACCTAAATCCTAACTGATGCTCATGGGCATCAGACAATCACTGATTAGGAGTTTGTCGGCCTGGCTCCATCTTCAGCTAGCTATGTGACCTCAGGTAATTCACTCTGCCCTGCAGAGATTCCTATTCCTCCCCAGTCAAACTAACATGGCCACGCTTATGTTGCCTGTCCCGTGGGGTGTTAGGAACTGGGTGAGAATTGTCACTCTTCAGTATTCACTATGAGGGTTTTAGCCTGGACACAAATGATGTCTGGTTTCTCCCCATCACAGCTATTTCTTTAAAACCAAGAGTTTGCTGAATGATAAAAAACCAGCACTTTGGGAGGCCGAGGCGGGTGGATCACGAGGTCAGGAGATCGAGACCATCCTGGTCAACATGGTGAAACCCCGTCTCTACTAAAAATACAAAAAATTAGCTGGGCATGGTGGCACATGCCTGTAATCCCAGCTACTCAGGAGGCTGAGGCAGGAGAATTGCCTGAACCCAGGAGACGGAGGTTGCGGTGAGCCGAGATCGCGCCATTGCACTCCAGCCTGGGTAACAAGAGTGAGACTCTGTCTCAAAAAAAAAAACAACAAAAAAACACACCACATTGTCCTCATTGATGAATTCTGCCTTAAAGGACCTTATGGACCTTTATGAACAGTTTGATCCTATTCAGTGGAAATGTTAGAGCACACTGCTCATAATCTGTCAGGTCCAATGTTGGCTGGCCACGCTCTTGCATTTTGCTCTTTGTTTCTGGATGGAGCTCTTGTTTCTATAGATTTCTCTTATTACTAGAAGTTTTTAGCAAAAAATATTCATGTGTTGCGGGGAAGATTTAGGACCTACTTATATCTACAGATGGTTAAATTTTTGTGAAGAAAGTAAATCTCCATAAAGTTATGGGCATCCCGAGAAATGCCACTGAAAACCACTACACCCATTTCGTCAAGTTTTCAGGCATGGATACATCTATTAGTTTTAATATTCTTGTAAAACAAGAACCTCCAGGCTCTGCACCTGTCCCTCACTTGAGTGAACGTTAGACTCCATCGTCGGCCTGATCCTTTGCTGTCACGTCCATGGTGTACAGAGGTAGTGCCTAACAAATCCACTAATTCCTATAGTTCTCAGGACTGTCGCTGAAGCTAACGTTATCCTGAAAACCCTGTGGCCATTGAATATGTTTATACAATCGCCTCCCCTTTAGAAGGTACCTGTGATTCCCAGTGCACCTTCAGGGTTGGATTCCAGGAGTGTAAGAGCCATTTTCAGTCATCAGTCAAATTCACTGATTTTCAATGGCCAAAGTTCTCTAGGGACCTTCTTCATGCCCTCAGGCTGCCAGGCTGTCACCCATGTGAAGGTGTTTGACATTTGTGTTATTCACAGCTGTGGCTCTGAACCCCGTGGCCTCACCAGCTCGTGTTCCTGAGGCTCTCAGCCCTAGATCCCACTTAATGTGAGTCCTTTTGTGTTGAGGCCAGCACCTCCTTCTGGGCTCCTCACTCCCCACAACCCCGTCTTGCTTGGTTTCCATTCTCCCCATAGAGACACTGCTATAGATGTCCCTTAGCAGGTTAGTGAAGAGAGCCATTGTGCATAAAACTCTAAGTTTAGTGAGGGACAGTTATAAAAACAGCAATCAAAGCCATGTTTGTTCTTATATTCATTCATGCAACAAAAGGCAAGAAATCAGCCCGCAGATCCTCTCCCCCAGTCTAGGCCCTGCAGGGGTCCTGCCAGGCTGGCCCTGTCCCCCCCGGGGCACGCCTGGACGTCACACACACTGCCAGTCTGTTTGTGCCACGAAGCCACTGCCCTTCCCCTGTGCCAGTTGACATAGTGGGAAGGTGACAGCCTTCAGCTCTACCTCTGCTTACACTGACGCTGATTTGATTGGACAGTTTGAGGTCGCTGTAAAATAAGAAAGCACCCAGGACACTTAAGAGTGCATTCTGCCCGAGAGCCCCCTAGCTCCCATGGAGTGTGTCTGTGTTGACCTTGTTCACCACACAGCTCTGTTCTCTCAGGTTGCCCCCAGCCTGCCTGTGCCACGTGGCAGAAGCAGCAGTTCTGAAGGTCTGGAGTGGGGATTCCAACCCCAGCACTGCCTCTCGTGACCTGCGTGACCACAGGCAAGTGATTTCACGTCTCAGAATCTCTATTCTCCAATGAAGGGTAATAATACTTTGTCTTTCAGGTGGCGCTCCTTCAGCAAAATAATAGCTAAGCTATTGTAGTAATTTGCTACAGAAGCAACAGAAAACTAATATATACTGGGTAAAGATATAATTCATATATACTATTCATTTATGCGTTTCCTGTGTGTGTGTGAGAGAGAGAGAGAGAGACAGATAGAGACAGAGAGAGTTGTAAACACAGAGGTGGTCACCACAAACAAATGATGATGTGTACAATCTATTTTGAGGTGCAGAAGACAGAGAAGACCTTGCCCATTCATTAAATTCCGTGTTCCAAGAACTGTGCCAATGCCTCACCTACTGTTGGGCAGGGACCTCCTTTTCCTTCTATTTCCTGTTCCCATTTGAGGGGCATCCACTAGAGAACACGTCTCCCTCTCAGCCCAAGGGACAGGGAGTGACGCAGCCAGAGGTTGCCCTCATACATTCCCTGGGCTCTTTCTGTACCTGCCTCCTGCGGGAAGCTGGACACCTGTCTGCTGCCTCCACCCAGGGAGAGGCTTGCCCTGTGGAGGGGTCTGGGATTGCTCCTTCTGCCTGTGGCTTGCTCAGCACCTTCAGGCTGGAGGTGCCAAACTAACTGCCGCTTATGAAGCCACGCTGTCTTATCCAGCTCCACTTAAAATAGAACTAACATTTTCATCCCCATCTGGTTCCTGTGGCTCTCTCTGTCTCCACTTCTCTAACCTGTTCTGAATTTCAGAGGAAAAGAAGGGGGCTTATCTATTGTAAATCCACAAACTTATCTCCTAGGGGACTTAACTGCATTCCCACCACAGCCCGGTGAGGTAGCTATTACTGCTGTCTCCATTTAACAGACGTGAAACAGAGGCTCAGCCAGGTAAGGGTGACCCAGCTATGAGTGGCAGAGCTGGGATCGAACCCAGGTCATTTCAAACATTTCTACTTGCCTCTGCTGCCTCTGGGTGAGAAGGAATCTGCTTTCCTTCCAGAGATGCTAGGGGGAGGGTGCTAAGTCCTATGGAGCAGGGCAAGTGGAATCATCCGAGAGGTAAGAGGGAACAGGGGCGCTGGGGATGGATCACTGCCTGCAGTTGCCAAGCAAAGCAAGACCCTCTCCACCAGGGGCGGGCTGTGTGCTTCCCGGCAATGTATGGAAGCCTGCTCCCTCTCAGCAGAGCTGCTTGATCCACAGCTCCAGCAAATGCCAGCTCCCATTCTCATCAGACCTTACTTCAGCTTGGCAATGGAGGCGGAAGAATGAGCTGACTCTCCTGCCTCTCTCAGTGAGACCAGCTGCACCCCAACTACAGCTGTGCACCTTATGCTTCATGAAACAGGACTCGTGGGTTTCTCACTGGCCTTGAAGGACTAGCAGGGCTTGAAGCTCAGGCTCCTGGTAGCTGAATCCTCAAGGCAGGACAACTGACCATACTAACGTCCCCTCTCTATCAGCTCATATTCACTGGAGGGATGGGAGTCTGTGGGCTGGACAGTCTATGGTGGTGAGAACGTGAACACACATCTCCACCACCCCAGCCTTGCTTTATTTCCTTACAGCACATGTGGGCATGAAACTGGGCAGCGTATCTAGATGCCTGACAGCCAGTCCATGCTCAGCAAAGGGCTGCTTCCTTCTGACCTCCACTCTCTTTCTTTATAAAAATCCGGAAGAATTCGGAGTAAGGACTCAAATTTTAAGAGTGGCCAGAAAATGTTTACTTTTTAAAGGTTTTCTAAGTGTCAGATCACCCAGTCTCGCTTCTCATCTTATGGATAAAAACATAACCTCACACTGATCCAGCTGTTAGCCCAGTGATAATACCTATCTGGCCTGGTCTCCTTTGAAGTCTGACATGAGTGACTGAGGCTCAGAGGGGTGAAGTGTTTCACCCAAGGCTACACAGCCGAGAAGTCGGAGGATGTGGGCTAGAA